TACTGGTTTTGTTTTCAATGCCAATTTTATTTTTGGATGCCAAATTTTAAAGTCACCGTTCTGGCTCCATAATTTGTTAGATTCAAATGCCACAAACACTTGGATGTGAACTATGCATTTAAATCTGCATTAACCATTATTTCTGATGTTATCATTGAACCATGTTTGTGTAATATGAAATTATTAAATGTAATAATTGATTGATTTCATAAACACTGAAACTACTACTCAGCAGAGTAGCGCATACAGCAGGCAGAACATGTAGACAGACAACCTACAGTATAGAGCAGCTGCACCGGGGTGACTGGACTTATGAAGACTGTTCTGAGACACCGAAGACAAGCTTCAATGAAGATCAGGTCCGGACACAGGAGACCTGCAAGCACAAAACAGAGCCATTGTATTGGTCTGACATTGTCATCTGCACCAAGTATTTGCATGCTCGAGTATGTGTATCCCTTAACCTTGAAGAAGGGCAGGGATGATGTGACAGTCCACCAGGGACTTGATGTTGTTCTCTGTGCCCATGGCTAAGCTACCCAGCACCACGGAACATTCCCTCCGCAGCTCCAGACTGGACGAGCTCTGCTGGAGCAGGTACAGTAATCTGGAAACAATAACACACAAACACTGAAGCAAGTTTACTGTAAAGGCAGCTTACAGTAACCTGTAAGGTGCAGGGTAGATGGTGTGAGTTTTTCATTTAGTTGCACTCTACTGAAATGAATAAATAAAAAATATAATGGCTTTTTTTGATAGGTCAGGTGAAGATAGGAAAGGGGGGGGTGAAATGCAGCAAAGGGCCGCAGGTTGGAATCGAAACTACCCCAACCATGTTAATATGTAACACCAATGTCTGAGAGTACTTGGATAACATTTTGAAAGGTAAGAAAATGCGAAGTAGGAATAAAGATGTGTGAAGGCGTGGAAGTGGAAAAGTGTGCAGAGACGTACCTCGGCACAGCTCCGAGGACAATCAGATTGGCCTTCTGCTTGTTGTTTCCTATGACAGCATTCTTCATGTCACTGAAGTCAGACAAAGACACAAGATGAGGACCCTGGTTGGCAATCTACTAGAGGCAACTGTGACAAATGAACTCTGCATTCAATAACAAATGTTGAAGAGTTGGTATGGTTAGAAAATGCTTTACATTGCAGCCTTTAACGTACAACGTAACTCCTCTCAATTTACAGTGTAATTTTTTGTACTAAGTAGCAATGCAGAATATATATCAGGATATGATAAATCATGAGTCAGTAATAATAAAAATGTATTTTGAATGGAATATTTTGTATCTTATGCAAAATGTTTGATTGGCTTTCATAGAACATAAAGCCTAAGTATGATTTTGATGAAAACAAGAACAAAATTCATGAACATTTGAAGAGTCAGAACCTATATTGTGCATCCTTATTGCTAACGGTGTATGTACTATGTACATAATTCAATTTCAATTCAATTTTATTTGTATAGCGGCAATTCATAACAGAAGTTACCGAACTCCTTATAACATTTACAGAGACCCAACAGTACCACCATGAGCAAGACCTTGGTGACAAGGGCAAGTAAACAGCCTGTTAACAGGCATAAGAGTAAGTACAAGAGAACAAGATGTGAAGTTAGCGAATAATGGGGGAAACAATGTAGCAACTTAGAGACTTAGAATTTATACTGTAGGTATTTTTTAACTAACAGGTAGCTATTCTAATATTATGGGGTACAGTATGACCTACTCAGCAACAATATGGCATTTGTGTTTCCTAACTTTACAAGTTCAACCCACATGTATGCATCAGTACATACTGAATTGGTGCAGCATACAAAAAATGTCACTGTAAATTGGGAAGAATTACGCTGTACGTTGCAGGCCATAATCTAAAGCGTTCCCCTTGCTAATGTATATTTCTGCAGGTCAGAACAATAATTGTAATATTTACACATTCTAAAAATATTAAACATATACACATCTAAGTACTGCACATTATGTTTCATGAAAGATGCATTTCACCCAGTGCTCTCCTTTGTAGGGCCCGATATATCGGTTGGCCGCTATTGACCTATCATAGACATATCAGTATCAGCATATATGTTAGCTGATATGAAAAAAAAAAAAATTCCCCATATATAATGCAGAAAGAAATTCTCGTAGGGATATTTTGGTGTCACCGCAAAGTTTACAATACTGTGGCAAACAGGACAGATTAAAGAGAAGAAGCAGCTCTCAGCAATCTCAACTACAGTTGGTTCACAATATATATGTTTAATTATTTAACATGTTGAAGAACATTTAACGTAAATATTCTTTATTAAAGTTATTGGTTTAAAAAAGCAGCCTGTTGAGTACTTTGACATGGTCATGTCAGTGCACAATCCACATTGGAAAGATCAATTTTCATTGCAGCCACCATACTGGTAATCAGTGAATATTTCCCTTCTGAAATCCTTCTGAAATCGGTCAGGCTCTAGTCTTTTGATAATATATGTTTAGCTAATAGTTAGTAATAGAATTGGAACGGAGGAGGTTCACATCAAGCATAATGCACCACATATTCTTATAGAACACAGAGTGAGTCTGTTCATTTGTATTCACTGCATTTTGTTTTCCGTGCAGAGTTTCCTCTGCTCTGCATGTGTCCCTGATGATATCAAATAGCAGGTGAGTGAGGCTAGTGGAAAACTACAGCTATAGCAGGCACTCAGTTCAGTCAGGTGCTCTGCTAGTGGAGTGGTACAAGCCGTAACCAGAGCTAGTCTCTTCCAAAGTTAAAAATAACAATGAAATAGGCAGAGTCACTGCAGTTGAGACACAGAGTAAGAGCGAGAAATTAAGTCACATGAAGGAGTGAAATGCATCTTGAAATAGGCCGTCACATAAAGTCTGTGTATGTAAACACACAGGGCATGCTCACTGAGAAACACCACCATCAGAGAAGTTTTTCAACAGATTAATTCTATGTATGATATTCAAAAGAGGCACTTTTATCAGCTACTTGAATCAATGATCTGTGAAGGACAAATTAGAAACACCAGCTGAAGTTACTGGAAGAGTGTGGGCTTTATTCCGACACAATTCAGAAAAAAAACACATGCTGATGAACTTACATGACTCCCTGCAGCACTTTCTGTGGGTCGGGGTCGAACAGTCTGTCAACATAATGGCGACTGGTGGCAGTGACTTCCTGCATGAGGACAAATATGACAGAGACATAAGTGACATAACTCACTAACATATACATTTCCCAGCTAAGACTATCTTGCTGGAAAGTTAATGACATTGTATCACACACATATACACAAAAATCAGGGAGAAAAGCCTATCAGAGTCTGCATAATCAGGTTTATTTCCTGATTGAGAAATAGCAGGCATATAAATTAAACCTACACGTATATAACACACAACAGCATCCATGACAGGGCCCTTTGTAGCCACTTGGAGCACCAGAAAACTTTGTTATATCACTGACACCTTTACCAGAAGTTTCCATATGACCCCAGAGGAGCAAAGCTCACCAAGCTAGCAACATGCTGTTAGCTTCTGTTGCCTACACGCTGCTGATAAGGAGTTCAGCAGTGTCTGTACCTACATGAACTTCTTTACAAATGTGTTTTTCTACTTTAGTTTAACCGTAAAAATGTAATACACACAACAACAAAGCTGCTTATGATCAAAAAAGTGAAGACGGCTTAATAAATATGAGCTAGCATGATATCTAGAGGGTCTAAAACAGTGTCTTCTGCATGTACCTAACGTGGGGGCGTTTCACTGTTGCACTCCTGAGTATGCTCGTTTATCACTTCCCATTAGTGTTAACTTTAGTCAAGTTACGTCTGACAGCCATTGTCACCTGCAAGAATACATTACAGTACTAATTGCTGGACTTTCTACTGCTGACAGCTAATTTTACCCAGCCGAAAACTCCCCAAGAGGTAATGAGTGAGTTATGTTAGCTTCGCTAGCGAAACCGTATGCTACTTGGACAACCTCACGTTAGCTAGCCAAGTTTGCTATTGCAATTAGCAAGCTACAGTGGTTAAAGACAAATAATAATGGATGGCTGGAATAAAAGCTCATCCTTGCAACTAATATCCACTGTTCTTTATGCACTATTTTACACATGTTTGATTTTTTTCCGTCAACAGCAGTGAGTGACAGCACTCTCACTCTTAGCAGTTAGCTGCTAACTCATTCCCAGTGACACTGACAGGTACTTCATTCGTTTGATTTGGTTTCCTCGATACCCCGACGGGGAGAGCGGACACATTATTCGCGTGCATCCCTTCACATGTGCACGATCCCGCCCACCCGGGCGTAGTCAGGATAAAAAGCGTTCTCATCGTCAGCTACGTAGGCGGACCGCTACAGTGCTACATGTTGCAAAGCCTCTAACTTAGCTTGCAGGCTAACATAAGACATAAACCCTCCCTAGCTTAATAGCTCTTAGCTTCTTCATATGAATGATCAAATTATATCAACCACTCACTGTTGGAGTGCGCATATTGAAAATCTGACAATGCTACTTGAAACTATGAGAGTGACACTCACAGACAGCACACTGATGCGGAGAGGGGCCTCCAACAAGCACGCCATCTCTCTTCCCCCGATCGAGCGCCCCAATCGGCGCAGCACTTTGCAGACACTCCGCCCCCCAGAGCAACTGTGAGCGGCTTTTAAAAAGTAACTGCAGCTGAATCACACAGCCCCCCCTCGCTGGCGTTAGAATAAAAACCGGTAACTATATTCCTCTGTGGGTTCGGCTATAATCACTAGCATTAGATATACAACAAAACAACACTGCTAACTTGGCGAGCTGTCTGTCAGACAGTGGATTTGTCAATTAGGTAAATTTTGTTTATAAATGTGACGTAGGTGAGGTCTCTTTAAGTTAGATTCGATACATTTACGACCTATATAAACCATGTAATGGATACTACAATGAACATAACATATTCAGTCTGTGTAACAGATACCAATATTAGCTCTGTATATACTAAATAATACGTACAATACACAGTAAATAGCGGCCCACATATTTTGATCGAATATACTGCCAGTGATCAAAAGTGGTTTGCTTAAACTGGGGACGTACTGCGCATGTGCTGTGAGCGGTGGATGCGAGGTGGGAAAATTCATTCTATCGTGTGTCTGCTAACCTGTAACATAAACATGATTGTCAGAAGAAGTTTGTAGCTTTACAGAGTATATGACACACAGAGACACTCTTCAGTTATTCGTTCATCTCCGTAAGTACTCAGTTTGTTAGCTTATGCTTGTGCGCGAAATATTGTTCCCTCTTTGCTGTCGGGTCGTTTCTACACATTTCAATCAGCGTTAGATTAAGCTAACTCCGTAGCGTAGCTAGCTACTGCGTGTTATGCGCGTTATGTTTAACGTTAGCTGGTGCTGGTAGTGTGTTAGTGGACGTAAAGTACACAGAGCAGACACAATCTTGCAAACGCCTCGTGGATACGCACATTAGGATAACTGTGGCGGCAGTCCCACTTGTCAAAGCTGGTTTTGACACTACTACGGGAAGCCACTGAGAGCTCCAGAAATACCCCAATGCCCTAATGTCTCATGTCACTGCCACGGAGGCTTCTGTCATTGTTTCAGTCACTCATATAAAGATGAAACATGACACTGGCGGTTCTGTCCACAGTGAGTTAATACCACTGTACTGAACAAGACAGTTTACTTGTATTCACAGCAACTGGGTAACTGAGATAATCCAAGATATAAACAACAATATGTCAACTCTTCACTGACAATACTATTGATAAGCGTGAAACCCAATAGGACAGTCAATGGAGTGACTATGTAATAGTCTTGTGAGTAAATGTAATGTGTAATGTAAAGTGTTAAAATGGCTGTAAACACTAGACCTATTTTATATATTTTGTTGAGTTGTGTGCTTGTATAATCCCAAATATTTCCAACAATGTTCAGACCCAGAGAAATCTGTCATTCTGTCTAGTTATTTTATTCAGGTAACAGTGCGTTTCATTTGGTTTCCCATCAGGGAAATGATGTGCCCTATACCCCTTCTGGTAAAGTAGGTCTATCTGCAGGTGCACAGTACTACAGAGCGTGACGACTACATGACACACGACTCAAAGCGCTCACAGTTTGGTAAGTTTTAAGCACCGGAACTACTTGGTTAGTTTAAGGAAAAGATCATGCCTTGGGTTATAATATTAAGTACATTAATCCAGGAAGTCATCTCAGGGCATGTGTTGTGTAGTAAAGTGTGTGTGTCACATAGTCTGGGACTTCTGGGTAAACGTGGAATTTGTCAGTGAGGATGGACGGTCTCGAACATAAGTTAAAGTAACGTGAATAAAACTTTAATATTATCTCATCCATGAACAATTTCTGTGTGAGTCACATCAGATAGATTTTCATCAGCAATGAGGACTACACCTCCCATGATCCCACGCTACTTCACGACATTATCAAACATCAAGTCTTTTCTGTGATTGGATGTGACAGACCTCCAGCTACTGTGCGTTTAAGGGCATTTCCATTGTGTTTACATCTCCTGTGTACATTACCCGTACAAACTTGACATTTAATTGTTAAACCTACTGACTTAAAACCATTCTTTGCTCTCCTGTTATGCCTTATACTTCTTAGTGAAAGGAATAGCATCGCCAATGTTTTGAACTTTGTTTTGGTTGTATTTCTACAGATCACCAAAAGATTATTTACAGAGGCGCAGGCCTCAGCATCCCTGCGTGTGGAGGCCGAAAGCCCCTGGGTGAGCACAGAATACAAACCAAGACTGTGAGTTTCTCTGGGAACTCGCAGCTCACCTGTAGTGCAGCATGAAGATTGCTGTAGAAGGCTGTTGCCATGGGGAGCTGGACAAGATCTACGAGACAATTGCATACCTGGAGAAAAAGGAAGGGGTGAAAGTGGACCTGCTGCTTTGCTGTGGAGACTTCCAAGCCGTGCGAAATGAAGGAGACATGAAGTGCATGGCGGTACCAGCCAAGTACAGATCGATGCAGACCTTTTACAAGTCAGTGCTTTGGTTTATTTTTCATGTTTTAAAAAAAGTGCAAGACATGAGTGAAAGCCTTTAAAACTTTAATATTACACCATTCTGTGTTACAGGTACTATTCTGGAGAGAAGAAGGCTCCAGTCCTGACCATCTTCATTGGAGGGAACCATGAGGCTTCCAACCACCTGCAGGAGCTGCCTTATGGAGGCTGGGTGGCACCAAACATTTATTATCTGGGTAGGGACCAGCAGACAGTAGATGTGATTATTCTGTCTACCTGTTTATCTGTTGATTCCCAGACCTGACGTGACCATATTTTCTACAGGTTATGCTGGTGTTATTCGCTACAAAGGCATTCGAATCGGTGGCTTGTCTGGAATCTTCAAATCACGTGACTACAGAAAGGGTGAGTTCTGTTTTTAATTTTCTTTTTCAGTATCTCAGTCAGTGTGTCTCTTGGTCATTTGATATCCCTTTCAGAAAAGGGTAAAAAGATAAATTATTAATGGTTATTTGGTCATTTTAAAAAAAGTTAAATACAAGGTGCTTTACTTATTTCCTGGTCAAAAAGGGATGAGTGAAAGTTTAATTTCTCTGTTTTGTAGAACTAATATAAAAAATATTTATTTTCTGAGACCGGATGTGTTCATTTAGACAAATTCACTAAATGTAGGATTCCCAGTGTTGCTTCATCCCAGGCTATTTTAGACAAAATAAGGCCTTTTTGACAATGGAAAAAACACCTTGTACATCATTTTGAAAACTCAATTAAAACATTTTTGTTTATTTTAATACCTGTTTCTGAAAGGAATATTGAGTGGTCCAAAGATACACTGACCTATCTCAGTGGTTGAACTTATACACACTCTGCAGCATGCTTACAAGAAATGTGTGCTCTTGAAGGTCACCATGAATTCCCTCCGTACAATCCTGACACGCTTCGAAGTGTATACCACATCCGAAATGTTGAGGTATTCAAATTAAAACAGGTAAATATCGTAGGTTCAACTTCTTTTCTTGCACACAGTTCAGAAGATTGTCCATTTATTTATCGAAACAGCATATTTTATTTAAAAATGTTTATTTCCACTAAGATCAACATGCCCATAGACATTTTCATGAGCCACGACTGGCCTCGTGGAATCTACTACTATGGGAGTACGGGGGAACTGTTGCGAAAGAAGAAATTTCTGCGTCAGGAAGTGGAGTCCAACACTCTGGGAAGTCCTGCTGCTGAGGAGCTGCTAGCTCACCTCCAGCCCAGCTACTGGTTCTCTGCACATCTTCATGTGAAATTTGCTGCTGTTATGCAGCATCCGGTGAGCGTGACTGCCCATAGAACTGCTGCTGCTGCTGCTGATACATTTTAGATTCTGATTTTATTAACTCTGAGTACCAACCTAATATACCAATTGTCTTGTCTTTAGCCTAAAGGTAACGCCCCCCCACGTGTAACAAAGTTCCTGTCCCTGGATAAATGTCTGCCCTACAGGGAATTCCTACAGGTGAGAGAAAATTGTGCTGCTAATTATACAAAGGTTACGATCTAGTTCAGTGGTTCTGAAACTGTGGAACATAGAGCCACTGAAGAGGGGGTGTGGATGACCAGGGGAACAAGAATGTGATCAATGTAGGGAAAATAACCAAAGAGTCTGCGGATTGTGTCGTGCTGACCTTTTGTTTCATAAAAAATTCAACTTGGATCCTTTTTGACTAGTTAACCTCTCATTAGTAATAATTGATCAAAATTGTTGGCTGGTGTGGCTTGATTTGGCTTCTGCTGGGGGGCATGCCAGAAGAAATTTGAGAACAACTGTTCTAGTTGAAGCTGTAGGGGTGATAGTTATTTATTTATATACCTTTTGTGTTGCAGATTGTGGATGTTCCAGAGAGACCGGGTTCATCTGAGGGTCTGGAGTATGATCCAGAGTGGCTTGCGATCCTGAAGGCCACCAACAGTCTACAAAGGACCACCCCACACCCCTGGAACCCCCCAGAGAACAATGGCCTGCACGAGCGGTACACAGATATTAAACTTACAAGCAGAGCATATGCAGTCAGTTGAAAGATGGCTTCAGTCGTGAAATGAACACTGAACGTAAAAGTCTGCTGACAAAGCTGAAAGAGCGGTAATGTAGCTGTGACTGAAGCAGTAGCATCATGCCGTTGGTAAAGCACTGCACTATCTTGGAGAGGCTGAATATATATTTTAATATTCTTGGAATACAATTAATGATCGTTCTCAATTAATCCGCCAAAAAATGTACAATCGACACAGGCTTATTATATTGTTTTATTGTATTGAGTATATATATTTTATCATATCTTAATGTATTTGTATGTATTGTAAAAATACAAACACACAGTCTCTGTAGTGAATAGCAATGGCATACAGGTGTGTAAGTAGACTCGACCATCTCAGACAAACAACAATACACTACCACTGAGCAATACACTCTGGAAATAATAACTGAAATTATAGATACTGATTAATCAGGCTGATAATCTGGTATTTTGAAATAATAAGCATCGGCAAATGACTGCACTCGCAAGCCGTAAACAAAAACATGTCTGCCGGCAGCCTTGTTGGTGTGTCTGATCTCCCCCTTTGTGAGTTTTGAGAAGATGGTAAAAAGTTGAGTTTGGAGCCTTGTACTATAACTCTAATGCAGATTTCTAACCCTGCTGTACATTTTTGTCACTATCATCTTTTCTAAATGACATGTTTATCCTAAATGGCAACAAATCCGACCTAAAATGATTACTGTCCCGCTCTCCCTTAAATAGCAGTCACATGCTGAACTTCCATCTAAACAACATGTATATGTATATTGTAATGTACATGGAATAATGGAATTGTACAGGATTTTTCTTCGTTTTGATATCGGCATTATTTATCGGCCATCAGCCACTCAGCTCTCTTAATGTCAGCATTGGCCATTGAAAAACACATATCAGTCGATCACTAACTAAAATAATTAAATTAAGTATTAAATATTACGTTTTTGTTTTTTTGTTTTTTTCTCATTACCTGCTCAAGTTGCATTTGCCAGCACTCTCAGCCCTGAAGTTACATGCTGTGCACAAAGCTTTTTTTCTTTTTCATATTCAGTTTACTATAAGACAAGCTTGAAACATAAAAACATAAAAATAACTTGTCAATTAAATAGTTGACTAATAAAAATGGAATAATTGCCTAATTCCCTCTCATACTTCTGCAGTTGACTTAAACATAATGCCACAACAGTTGGGCTCACAGTTTTGGTTCATGCTGCCACTTAATAATATGGATTGTCTGCACCCTGCAGGTGGGACTTCAGAGCTTCAGAAGCAGCTATGATGGAGGTGGTGGAGGATTTCAACGGTGAACTCACCATTCCAGACAACTTTAGCCGGACTGTGCCACCCTACGACCCCAACAAGCCCCAGCCCCATGCCAGCCCCAGCTGCAACACCAACCCTCAGACCACAGAGCTCTGTGCCACGCTAGGCCTCACAGACATCTACGCCCAGGCTGGGCAGGGAGGAGATGACCTGGGGAGAGTTCAGGGCAGTATCGTAGGGGAGGAGGAGGATGATGAAGATAGACACAGTGTAGGGAGTGTGGACGAGCCCAGCGAGTACCCGAGCGACACTTCGGGATTGTCAAGCTCGTTTAATCCCGACGAAATCACGATAGAGGATGAGTGGGAAGAAGAGGAGGGAGAGAAGGGAAAGGAGGAGGTTGAAGGGAGGTCGAACGCAGCAGTAAAGGGAGATAAGCTCTCTAATGCACCTGTAGGTGAGTTTAACACCGCCAGCCGGATGGTGCTGCCCGAGCCCAAATCTGAGGCCTCACCCACTCGTCTGTCCAACATCATGAACCTGCCGCCCCCCTTCCACTCCACCCCTGCAGTAGCCCGGCTTCAGCCTGGAGCAGAAGAGGAAGGACAGTGCGAGGGCGACGATGAGGATGCCACAGCTGTACGTATGCTAAAACGTACCAGCGACGAGACCGGGGATCCTGGCAGCAGAGGCACAACACCCAGAATCAAACGCAGGAACCAGGTCATCTATACAGCAGCGGAGGATGACGAGGGTGAGGATTAGAGGTCAGGGTGAGAGAAAGCAGAAGGCAAGGACCCATGAGTGTAATTCTCCGTCAGTTTATCAGTTCTGTTCATGTTCAGTATAGAATCCAAAATCAGAAGAAAAACACAAAAAACACGAACAAATAATAGTTCATTTTTTGTACTTTAGATTTTACACTCAAGTCAAAAAGAGGAAATGAACAAGCTTTGATTTTTATCTTAAAATTTAAATATTTGGGCTCTATGCGTGTACTGGGATGGGAATGGGAATGTTTTTAAGATTTTTCAATATCAAAATGATTCAGCGATAGTTGTCAGCAGAAATGAAATGTTATAGTTAATTGGGCAAATTTTATTTGACAAAATGTAAAGAAATCACTACTCACTGAATCCACATTATACATTATTATACTGCTATTTCTTGTTCATCTGACTTGTAACATTTTCCAAAAGACTTGCTGATGTTCATATTAATTTCATGAAATCAGGTTGACCCAGTCAGTGTATTTGCTGCAAAGTGAGTGATCAATTCGAACACATACTCGATTTTATGCTCAAATCAAAAGTACGAAAAAGTATTAGTTGCGTTGGATTGATAAATGAATAACGACAAGGAATCTTTTTTTTTTCTGATTTTGGACTCCCAATTGAACATGAAAAAAAAGGAATGATACAGGGATTGTACTGATGTACAGATTTACTGTCTGCCTTTTCTGCAGCTACTGACATGAGCTGTACAAGCATAAAATCCGGCATTATTAAAATGTCCTAAAAGCAGACTGTACATGACAAAAGAGCATTTCTGGATTTAGTTTCTACAGAAAGGTGGTTATAGCTATGTTGTCTCTTTGTTAAAATATGATTTTTATATATATTTTAATCTAACCGACATAGAATTTTAGGAAACATTTCTGTTTTTTTATACATGTCATTTCAAGACAACAGCAATGATTAAAGAGGCTGGAAAATTAAAATGTCCTTTTTTTTTTATTTTTTATGAATGAATGACTTCATACACCATTGTACAGCCACTTACCAATACAGATAAAATGTGGCTGTCGGTGTCTTTTGTTTTTCTTCACCGAGGCAAGTGAAAGAAAAGCATTCAGCACTCGGTGCCACTCACAGCTTTATTGAACACTACACAAACCGAGGTACTGATGTAAAGTCTTGTTTTAATTACCTTTGTCATCTCAAGTGCACAGAACACTGAAGAACAATGAATGTTGTTATATAATGAGCTAATGGTGTCCAGGGGGGAGAACAAGTCATTTTAGCTTGTATTTGAATACTAATTGAAAATGGTATTGTTCTTCAAATGCCTCTTATTTTTTTTTAGACCCTTAATTAGTTCACCATATTTTTATCAAAAGATCTTACTACCTTAGTTGCTTTAAGTGCTATTTGTTTTGTTAGAATAAGTTTAAATAGCTCTACATTGATTATAAGAGATCAGTCAGTAACATGTCTCCCAGTCCCTCTCCTTCCTGCAGTAAACCAGAGAATACACTTCCCGGTATCCTGTTCCCAACTTTTTCCAATCAGGAGAGAGAACTCCAGCAGAAGGCAGCAGAATATCAGTGTGGTGACGTTAGGAGGAGGGAGGGGACTGCTAACTGGAGAGCAGACAGGAAGTTAGCCAAAATGCTCATTTCACTGATAGTGCCTTTAAATATACGTGGTCGTGTATCTGAAAATGAAGCAAAGATTTTTTCTGGACACCAATATTTGTTTAAATCAAACAGATTTATAACATCGATTAGAGTCCTTTAAACGTTCCATTCCAGTGTGCTCTGCTAAAATCAACATACACTTCCATTAAAAGTAAGACAATATACAACATACAGTGTATTCAGAAGATCTCTTTACATCCATACAAAGAGCCAATACAGTATAGCCTAATGACAGGGTGCCCAGTTATTGGTTTAAAGTACAAGCCAATGTCAGGGAAATGGTTCTCCTGCACTTTACCTACGAAGCACACACTTAAAGAAAAGCCCCAAACAGGATTCACAAAAAAAGAAAACTGGGAATAGGCACTTCTGTTTTTGTTTTGTTTTTGTGTGTTTTCATCAATCCCTTACTCATTTTGTTCAGCTAAGCCTTGGCAGCAACAAAGCACGCAACTCTGTTTTAAGAGCATCATATTCAGTTAAATGAATGAGTAAAACCATTTAAGATTACTGATTTCATGTTCAGCAACAACTTAAGGGGACAGATGAGGGGCACATTAAACACAAGATGGGCAGATGCTGTCCTACATGGCGTGGTACAGGTTTATAACTAATCACCCCCCAATATAACATTTATCAGACGCCAATCATTTCATCTGGGCAGAGCTATAGATGGGCCGAATTTTCCTTTTATTACAGTTGACCCCTCTTAAGTTCCTTAGCAAAGCCCCTTTTTGCTTTGTGCTCCAATAACGGTTGAGCAAGTCTGTCAATTTTCTCCTTTTAACTATCTTCCAAATGTGGGTGTCTTTTCAACATAGGCGAGCCTAGCACAGAGGTTCTCAAAGACCCCCACAATAGATGCACATTAGACCACAGATACCAAGATTTTTTCTTAAGGAATCCCAGTCTGAGTGCCTTTTTCAGTTTGTCTTCATAGTCAATCAAGGATTAAACTAGGATCACTAATAAATTACTATCAATCAAAGGGCCAAGCCTGTATCTTCCCTTGTTGTTCCAACATCCTCCTCTTGCTGAGGACCAACCCACTCAAAGAGCATATAGAAGGGAGAAAGTTGACTGAGGCTTGCTCAACTGTTAGCTGGAGCACAGGGTGAAAAGGGGCAGGACTTTGGAAGGGTCAATTAGCCCCATCACTCACGGTGATCATTGAAAAATGGGATTTAGCTATTTATTCAAAACATGGTCTTTATAAGTCTTGTATCTGATGCAATACTACTTTCTTTGGGTTTGAGGGTTATATTTTCTGCTACAGGCATGTAATTAGTTAGAGTTACCAGTTTCCTGCTCATACACAGCAATGTTAAAGTCATGTGCCAACATACACTCCATATCAAGTCTATATTGTTGCAGTTTGTGTTACAGCCTGTGGTGCTTCACATTTTCCTTACAAGCACTCAAGCAAGGCATTGGGAACCAAAAAGGAACACTGCACTTTAACACGCTTAAACAAGTCTGCAGGACCAAATGTATGTATGAGAAACACAACGGAAAATCATCAATCTTGTAAAGAAACAATTTCAGTGAATCAGAACTTGGCCTCACACACTGAGTTTCTATCTGGACAGAAGGAGAGGAGTAATGTGAGTGGAAGCAGACACTAGAGCATCACTACCAGCAGTCAAGAGAAGTCAAAATACTGGACAATAAATACGTACAAATTGACTTATGTTGGGCAAACTGTGCCTCTGCTTATCTGATGTGGGTTTGAATAGTGCCAGTGACACCAGGGAAGGTCAGGTTAGGAATAATGGGATCATTCCAGTGGGACAGTATGTGGCATTATTCACAGCAGGATTTGATTGATTCTGGACTAGGAGGAGGCAAAGCAAGCAAGCGCAGCCCTAACCATTTGGCTTTTATGTGTTGACCCTTTTTTCTCCTTTCCTTTCGTGGCTGCTCGCCAGCGTGTGCTGCTCATTTTGTGCATTTTTACGCAATCAGGGCTGCGACTGAAATGATGCAAGAATGAAAACGAAAGTTTACAATTAGTACTAAATACTACAACAGGCTTGCCACTGTCTTCCACATTCTTTATTCTCCTCCTCTCAAGTCCTCACTATACCTCCCCCTGGTCATTTCCAAATGCAGAATCTCAGTTGGTGGTCAAGAGACACAGATGTGAAACACTGCGTCTTTCTCCTCCATCTCTGCTGGCTCTTCCTTTCCTCTAATTCTCTCCTTTGATTTTCTGTCTGCTTGGACAGGAGGATGAATGGAGGGGAAGGGGGTGAGTGGATGCTGGGTTTCCCCGCACCAGGCCCACCCCTGTAAGTTGGTTGAAGGAGACAGGATGGCTGAAGGGCTGTGTTGGTGTGGATGGTGGAATACTGGTGGGAGTAGTGGGGTCTAGTTGCCACCACAGCAGGCTCTGGTAGAGTGGGCATCAGGGTCCTGGAGGTTGACTCCCCGATGTCGCGCTGCATGTGTAGGGTTTTGGGTGTCTGTTTTTGGCATCTTTTTTGCTACATTAAGACAAAGTCACATTTTTTTGTGTCACTCTTTTTTTTTTTTTGAAATCAAAATAACAGACTCCACTTTCTACCTTAAAAGAACTAGAAAGAACACATATCTACCAAGAAAAATAACTAATAATATAATTCAAAAATTCCTGCATTTGAATTTAAACCCACACCAACTCTAATCAAAAGACAAAAACACCAGATTTATTTTTATTCAGAAAATGTGCCAGGTTTTATGTGTATGCCCTATCAGTGTTGATGGTTAATGTAGTCAATTAAATAATAAATTGCTCAGTGTGTGCTATATTGACCGAGAAAGCTGAGTTTTCTGCTTTCGGAGCCATGCCAGCAGTGCCTACATATACCAGGATGCATTGCGTGAAAGCCCCTGACG